GGGCGAAAGGCCCATCCAGTCCAACACTCTGTGTCACACAGTGGCCAGAAATACCAGTGCCATCAGGAGGTCCAGCAGTGGGGCCAGGACATAACCCTCTCCCCTGGTTGCCCCCCCCCCCCAGCACCAAGAAGACAGAGCACCACTTGCCCCAGAGTCCCTATCTATACCTTGTGGCTAATAGCCACTGATGGACCTCTGCTCCATATGCTTATCTACTTCCCTTTTGAAGCCGTCCATGCTTGTAGCCACCACCACTTCTTGTGGCAAGAATTCCATGTGTTAATCACTCTTTGGGTGAAGAAAGACTTCCTTTTATCCGTTCTAACCCGACTGCTCAGCAATTTCATGGAGTGCCCACGAGTTCTTGTATGGTGAGAAAGGGAGAAAAGTACCTATTTCCCTAACTGCTCTTTCCCATGCATAAATTAGATAGATTCAGGTGGGGTCGCCGTGTTGGTCTGAAGCAGTAGAACAAAGTTCGAGTCCATTGGCACCTTTATGGCAAACAAAGCTGGTTTGGAAATGCTCCCGTGTTTTCTCCCATTTATCTTACCAGAGTTGTCTAAATATTTCTTTTACATCTCTAGAGCCAGTTTGGTGCAGTGGTTAAGTGCGCGGACTCTAATCTGGGAGAACCGGGTTTGATCCCCCACTCCTCCACTTGCACCTGGCTGAATGACCTTGGGCAAGCCGTAGTTCTGATAAGAGCTGTTCTTGAAAAAGAGCCATTTCTGTCAGAGCTCTCTCAGCCCCACCTACCTCACAGGGTGTCTGTTGTGGGGAGGGAAGGGAAAGGAGTTTGTAAGCCGCTCTGAGATACCTTTGGGTAGTGAAGGGCGGGGTATAAATCCAATCTCCTCTTCTTCTTCTTCATCTAGAGTAGTCTTATCTAACATTAGAGTCTTACCTAACATTATCTAACATTTAGTGTCTAAAACGTCAAAAGCCCTTGCTTTTTAACCCACCTGACTGACACGCCCCAAGAAGGAAATGGGTTCACTCACTGTAGGGCTGCCAACCTCCAGGTGGGACTTGGAGATCTCCCAGATTTAGATCTGATCTCCAGAGATCAGTTCCCTGGAGAACATGGTGGATTTGAAGGGTGGCCTCAATGTCATTATACCCCACTGAGACCCCTCCCCAAACACTGCCTTCCCCAGGACCCATCCCCAAATCTCCAGGAATTTCCCAACCCTGAATTGGAAACCTTAATGTTGGAACTTGGTTGATTGATATACAAAAAATAAGGTGTCCCTACTGTTCATACATCTGGGAGGATCCAGACGATCCTATGGCTGCTAGCATCCAGGTCAGAACTGGAGGTCTCCCAGAACTACACCTGATCTCCACATGACAGCTCTGTCCACCCTGGAGATAAAGGCAGCTCTGGAGGAAGGGAAAACTCTGTGGAGATCCCTGTAGAGATCTCTCTCCAGGCTCCATGCCAGCCTCCAGGTGGGGCCTGGGGATCCCCCAGAATTACAGCTCATCTCCAGACTATGGAGACCAGTTCCCATGGAGAAAAACGGCTGCTTTGGAAGGCGGACTCTGAATGGCATTGTCCCCCACGGAGGTCCCTGTCCTCCCCAGGCTCCACCCCCAAATCTCCAAGAGTTTCCCAACCTTGAGCTGACAACCCTACTTGTTGCAGCTTTGTATTAAGCTGTATAGGTCGAAGATGATATTTTACCATTTTGACACAGCTTAAAATTATTAACATTTTCAGGTGCCTTAGTATGAATTTGGAGTTGAGCCTTTCTTTGGAACTGGTACAATAATATTGCAGCATAGCATTAAACAGTATTAGAATAAAATAAGACTTAGTCATCTTGGCACACCTTAAGATAGTTGACGTTTTCTGATGCCATTTTGACACAGCTTAAAATTATTAACATTTTCAGGTGCCTTAGTATGAATTTGGAGTTGAGCCTTTCTTTGGAACTAGTACAATAATATTGCAGCATAGCATTAATCATTATAATTCTGAAATAATATTTAGTCAACTTGACACTATAGTTAGCACTACATTGCTGGCTAAGCACCGTAACAATAAAAATTCAATTTTCTGTCTTCTTGGTGCTTGGGGGGGGGGTCAACAGTGGGAGGGCTTCTAGTGTCCTGGCCCCACTGCTGGACCTCCTGATGGCCCCTGGTATTTCTGGCCACTGTGTGACACAGAGTGTTGGACTGGATGGGCCTTTGGCCTGATCCTGATCTTATGTTCTTATGTACTCAACTAAATAGTAAAAGGGCACATTAAAAAGTATTATTGAACTGTGTTTTTTTTTTTAAATGCTTTTCTTAATGTAGCTCACCAAGTTGGCAATGTTTGTATTGCTCTGTTAAACATTTGTAAAAAGGTAAAGGTTCCCTTGCTCGAAAACCAGTCGAGTCCGACTCTAGGGTTGCGGTGCTCATCTCCGTTTCCAAGCCGAAGAGCCAGCGCTGTCCGAAGACATTTCCGCGGTCATGTGGCCGGCATGACTAAACGCCAAGGTGCACGGAACGCTGTTCCCTTCCCACCGAAGCGGTACCTATTTATCTACTTGCAATTTCTTGCTTTCGAGCTGCTAGGTTGGCAGGAGCTGGGGCCAGAGACGGGAGCTCACTCCGTCATGCGGCACCCGGGGCTCGAACTGCTGAACTACTGACCTTCCACAGCCTGCAGTTCAGCGTCTTAACCGCTTGAGCCACCGCAGCTCCTTAAACATTTGTAAATGTTAATAAAAACATTTTTTTAAAAAAATCTTCAGGAGTTTCCCGACCGGGAACGGCAACCCTACGCCCCCATCTCCCGCCAATGGCCCTAGACTCCTTGGAGAAAGTGCCCCCTCCCCCTCACCTGCTGGTGGCCAAGGCGGGAGGGACCTTCCCCCCCCCCCCAAATGTGCAGGAGCTTCCCAGTCTGGAGCCGGCCACCGTAGCCCTGTGGGGTTCTCACAATGCTTCACACGGGTCCAGTCGAGGAGCCGAGCCGGACAGACCTGCCCCCCCCCTTCACGTGTGAACGCCCGGAAGGAACAGAAAAGAACGGTCCAGGGGCCAGGACGCAGGCACCGAGCAGATCCCGCACGCCGCCGCTTTGCGACCGTAATAATAGTAACGACAACAACCCACCTCGCCTCCTCCGAAACGTCTCCACGCACAAGGCACCGCCTTCCTGAACTTCCGGGCGCAGGAAAATGACGCCACGTCCGAGCGCACTCGCGGACGATGGACAACGGCGTCTCAAGAGGACCAAACGTGTCAGAAGGGGGGGGGGTTCGGATGCGTAATTGCGCATGTGCAGGAACGGAGACTTGCAGGCCTAATTGAGAAGCGCTGATTCGGCAAGTACGCGGGAATCCGGGAGTGGAGAGAGAAGCGTTCCTTCCAGCCGGCGTTTTTCGGAGCGGGAGCCGGGCCCGGGCTGGTTTCCGCGGATGTGCCTCAGCGGTCGCCATGCAGCTGAGGAAGGAGGAAAGCACACATTCGGAGTCACTTTTGCCCCTTGGAGTCCAACGAAGTTTAATTCTCCAGCAATAGCCAGCTAAATCCATCTAAAAGCTCACATTTCCTCTGAGCTTGATCAGCACTGAAGAAATGATTTGTAAAGACCATTGGTCAAATACTGATGAAAACCTCTCCAGACGGCCTGCAAAGGGCATTTGTTGTTGTTCAGGCGCGCAGTCGAGCCCGGCTCTTCGCGACCCCATGGACCAGCTCCCACCAGGCCCTCCGGTCTTCCGTCGTGCTCCGGAGTTTGCTTAATTTCATGTTCGTTGCCTCGATGACACTGTCTGACCATCTCATCCTTTGCCGTCCCCGTCTTCTTTGACCTTCAGTCTTTCCCAGCCTCAGGGTCTTCTTCTCCAGGGAGTGCTCCCTTCTTCTCATTGGGTGGCCAAAGTATTTGAGCTTCAGTTTCATTATCTGGCCTTCCAGGGAACAGTCAGGGTTGATTTCTTTTAGGATGGACTGATTTGATCTCCTTGCAGTCCAAGGGACTCTCAAGAGTCTTCTCCAGCACCATCGTTCAAAAGAATCTGTTCTTCGGCGCTCGGCCTTCCTTATAGTCCAACTCTCGCAGCCATACATGACTACTGGGAATACCATTGCTTTGACCATGCGGACTTTTGTTGGCAGGGTGATTTCATGCAGAATGGCATGCAGAAACTTCATTTCCAAGAATGGTTCAGTGTGCTGTCAGCATGGAGTCCCTTGCCCTTCACTAGTTTCCCTGCCAGACCGATGATCTCTACCACCAGGACACACCTTCTCCTGTATGGCACAACAGCCGCCATCCTTTGTCCCCAATTCTCGGTAAGAACTGACTAAGCTCAGGAAGGGGACACAGACGTTTCTGCAGACCTCCTTGCAAAATACTTCCCTCACAAACTCACAGAGAGGTCTGCTTTCACAAATGTAAAGGATCTCATTAGCACTGCAGTGAAAGACATTTTTTATCTTCTCTAGGATCCCCAAGGCCACAATAGTCTTCCCTGGTCCTGGGAGACGAGGCACGAGGAGTGGTTTTGCCTCCAGCAGGGCCGCGGAGGCGCTCCTTGATGAGATCTGCCCGGTGGCCCCCCAGCACCCCCGCAGGGCCCCCCCCCCGTGAAAACTTCCCCCACCACCTCCGCTGGGTGTTCCTAACTTCCTGGGGGCGAAATCCGCTCCTCGCGCAGGCACACTTCTTCAGACACAGATGAGAGCTTACACCCAAAATTAAACTTTGTTGGTCTTCAGGGTACCTCTGGACTCAAACTTTGTTTCATTTTTATCTATGTAACATTTTAAATACAGAGATCATTGTTGTGGCATATTGTGCCAAGACCCAGTTCAGTGTAGTGGTTAAGTGGGCAGACTTTGATCTGGAAGAACTGAGCTTGATTCCCCACTCCTCCACTTGCAGCTGCTGGATGACCTTGGGCAAGCCGTAGTTCTGATAAGAGCTGTCCTTGAAAAAGAGCAGTTTCTGTCAGAGCTCTCTTGGTCCCACCTACCTCACAGGGTGTCTGTTGTGGGGAAGGGAAGCGGGGTATAAATCCAATTTCTTCTTCTAAAAGGCAGTTGGTAGGGGAAATTCAGCTTAGAAAATTACAGTTTTTCATTATCAAACCTTGGGGAAGGGGAAAGATCCTGGGAGGTCAATATTTGGTATAGTTGTGCATCTCGGTTTTTAAATGGTAAACTACCGACACACCTGCTACTGGGGTTGGTCCATTTCAATTTTAAGACCCAGTTTAAGTGGGTGAGAAGTCTCATCAAGCTGTAGCTGACTTATGGTGACCTCACACGGGGTTTTCAAGGAAGAGATGGTCAAAAGTGGTTTCCCGTCGCCTGCCTCTGCGTAGCAACCCTGGACTTCCTTGGTGGTCTCCCATCTGAGTATGAAGCAGTACCGCCCGTTGAGCTTCTCAGATCTGATGAGAATGGACTAGCCTGAGCCTTCCAGGTCAAGGTGCCCCCCCCCAAGTAATTCAGTGTTTGTTTTTTTAAAAAGACCAGGGCCACTAGGCTAGCGTGCCTCCCTGGCCACACCCGCTCTCTGTGACCTCAGAGGCCCCGCCCACAGCACAAGAGAGACCAGGCGGGCAGGGAGACCAAAAGGGGGGAAAGACAGCCAGGCTAAAGAGGGTGGGGTGAGGACAAGTCCTTACTCTGTTTTAAGTTATGCTGACCCCATAGGGTTTTCTAAACAGGAGCAGAGGTGGCTTTGCCCTTGCCTGCCTCTGTGTAGCAACCCCAGACATCCTGGGTGGTCTCCCCTCCAAGGACTCCCCAGGGCCGACCCTGCTTAGCTTCCGAGATCTGACGAGACCGGGCTAGCCTGGGCCACCCAGGTCGGGGCATGCACAGACAGAGAGAGAGAGAGAGAAAGACAGAAGAGACTTAAAGTGGCTCTTTAAAAATTAAATGCATCTTCTCATTGGGTGGCCAAAGTATTTGAGCTTCAGTTTCATTATCTGGCCTTCCAGGGAACTCTCAAGAGTCTTCTCCAGCACCATAGTTCTATCTATCTATCTAT